AGCGAGGCCCTCGGTTTCAATTCAGAAAAGGGAAAGGAATAACAGCGCGATGCGGCGCAGGCTCCAAAACAGGCTTCAAAGCAGAAAACGAAAAGAAATCGATGCATAATTACGACTGACAAACCACGCCAAAGACCCCGTCGGGTCAAGAAAGCATCCAAATGCATGTGAGTGTTTTGTAGGGGAGCGATTCCCCAAGTCTTTCTTCTGGAAACATGGCCACAGTGCAGCCATAAGGTGTTCAGATTGGATGGCAGGAATCGCTGCGTACTCAAAACCAAGTCTAAACGCTGCCTGTGGGGCTTACGGACTCACCGGCCCCCACACCAAAAGTGCAAAGTCTAAACGCTGCCTGTGGGCGCACACACAGAGAGAGAGAGAGAGAGAGAGAGAGAGAGAGAGAGAGAGTAGCAAAGTTGAGCGTAGTAACGTACAGTAGGCCACTAGATTGGAAATGAGACAGCAGTAGGTGCAGTGAGGGGTGGAGAGGGGAGCAGAGAGCTGGGGGAGAGGTAAAGAGAGAGGGTAGTGGCAAGTGGGTCGTGATAGACACAGAAAGAGAGCTGGTGGAGAGGTAAAGAGAGAGGGTAGCCGCAAGTGGGCTGTGATAGACACAGAAAGAGAGAGGAGAGAGATGGCAGAATGCAGAAAGGAGGTAGATTGCAGGCCGGGGGAAGGAACAAAGCGACAGAGGAGAGGTAGATGGCAGGAGGGAGGAGGGAGATGGAATGAGGGAGGAGAGAAGCAGATAGAGGGTGGAGAGAGATGGCACAATGGATAAGGGAGGTAGGTCACGGGCATGAGGGAGATGAAGCAATAGAGGGGAGAGGTAGGTGGAGTGAGGGAGGGAGATGGAATGAGAGAGGAGAGAAGCAGATAGCGGAAGGGTGTAGGGAGATGATACAAGGGAGAAGGGAGGTATGGTGGGACGGAGAAGGGAGATGGAGTGGAGGGAGGTAGACAGTGCGAGTGAGAAGTGTTATGGCGCTATGGGGGCGCTGATGGTGTGAGGAGGGAGGTGGAAGGTGGGAGAGAGGATGGAGGTGGATGGAGGAGGGAGGAGGAATGTGGCATACTGATACTACACGGGCGCCAGTTAGGGCCCGGTTCTGTAGTTGGCACGGGTTAGGCCTAGGTACCGGGTCACGACGGTCCCAGCTAAGCCCCGGTAGGCCTAGGAACTGTCGTTTCAGATTTAGAGTCCGGTAGGCCTAGTTTTAGACCCCACCAGACCCGATTGCTAGTTTCGTTAGGCCGGTACCGGCCCATCGGTAGGACCGGCTGGCGGCGCAGTTTAGGCGCCACTTTTCAGATTCAGATCTGAACCGTTGATTGGATCAACGGTCCAGACCCTAAGGTACCAGCAGCAGGGAGGCTGGCCCAGCGCTATATCAGCTGGGTACCAGCCTCAGTAGGGAGGTTAGTCTGCAGGTTAGTCTGGGATTGTGTTTGAGCGTTAGAATAGCGGAGCGGCGAGGAGGATTAACGCAGCAGCGGTTGGCACCAGCGCTCTGGCTCAGCACGCCGCCCAGCGCCATAGCTGCATCGCTGAGCTCGGCCCAGCGGACTTCAGTAGAGCCGGCGCGGCCAACCAGGCATCAGGGAGAAAGGCTTCGCCTTTCCTCCCGCTACCTCTTTCTCCTCCTCTGCTCTTTTCTCCTCCTACCCTTTAAGTCTACGTCTACTTCTTGGGTTACTCGTACTGGACTACTACGAGGATGAAGGATGATTACGAGTTCTGATGATATTGGAGATAACAACATTGAGACCTTTGGTTGAGGACTACTTTTGGGATCTGACTTCATCTACCTCTGGAGATGTATCTTGACATTGAGAGATCGATATCTGGGACACTGTGAGAGCTCGTCTTCGGGACATTTCGGATTTTCGCTACTTCTGACATTTTGAGATACTATTTTTGGAAACATTGAGTTGACGTCATCTTTCCTCTCCTCCTCCCTTTGTCTCTCCCCCCCATTCATCTGTGTATGAGATCAGCCCCTGGCCCCTTCTTCCATTGGAGGCCAGGGCTTTCACACCACCGATGCATGTTTGTGAGAGATTCGTTGCAGTCTGAGTCAGGTTTTGTGTCAATCCATGTGTATCAAGTCTTCCGCTGTAATTGTATTCACTCTGTTATATCTTGTCGGTTCTGGGGATCTGTGCCATACTTATGTCTGTACTCACGAGTATGAACAACGGAGGACGGAGGTGGACAGCAGGAGGGAGGAGGGATGTGGATGGCAGGAGGCGAGAGGCGAGAGGAAAGAGGCAGTTACAGAGAGCAGAGTAGTAGATGGTGGGAGGGAAGAGGGAGATAGAAGGGGAGAGGATGTAGGGAGGGAGGTGGAGGGGTGGGGGGCAGGTATATAGGGAGATAGGGGCAAATGGATAGTGAAAGAACAGAGAGGGAGGAGCGGGATGGCACAGGGGAGGTTGGAGGTGGATCTTGGGAGGGAGGAGGGAGTTTGAGCAACGGAGGAGATGAGGCACCCCGCAGGGGTGAGATGGAATGCAGGACGAGAATATATAGCGAGGGAGGAGGCACAGAAGGTGGAAGGGAGGCAGATGGCGGTAGGGAGAAGGGAGATGGAGTGGAGGAGGGAGGTGGACAGCGCGAGTGAGGAGGGTTATGGCGCGAGGAAAGAGGCAGTTACAGAGAGCAGAGTAGTAGATGGTGGGAGGGAAGAGGGAGATAGAAGGGGAGAGGATGTAGGGAGGGAGGTGGATGGGTGGGGGGCAGGTATAGAGGGAGATAGGGGCAAATGGATAGTGAAAGAACAGAGAGGGAGGAGCGGGATGGCACAAGGGAGGTTGGAGGTGGATCTTGGGAGGGAGGAGGGAGTTTGAGCAACGGAGGAGATGAGGCAGGCCGCAGGGGGGAGATGGAATGCAGGACAAGAGAATATATAGCGAGGGAGGAGGCACAGAAGGTGGAAGAGAGGCAGATGGCGGTAGGGAGAAGGGAGATAAAGTGGAGGAGGGAGGTAGACAGCGCGAGTGAGGAGGGTTATGGCGCTGACGGTGATGCAAACCCACCTGCCCCACCCGACAGGGAGGTAGACAGCTTGAGTGGTGAGTGTTGTGGCGTAGGGTGGATGGTGATGCAAACCCGACAGGCAGGTAGACAGCGCGAGTGAGGGTTATGGCGCTAGGGTGGACGGTGATGCAAATCCACCTGCCCCACCCGACAGGGAGGTAGACAGCGTGGGTCAGGGTTGCATCCCTGTCGACCACCGACCCCGACCACCGACCGTATTGCAGCCGACCAGTAGGGCTGACCGGTTGGCGGTCTGCCGATCAGAAAACAACCATCCACTGATTTTTTTTCAAATCTGAGTGGGGGCCTGTACTGCACTTGCTGAGTACAGCCCAAACCCGCTGAGAAACTTTTGGGGAGGGGGGGGGTATGGCGGTGCTGGGGTTGGGGGGTGGGGGGGGGGTGGGGGGGGGGGGGGGGGGGGGTGGTAATAATGGTGTTCAGGCGGTTTGGGGGTGTTGTGGGGTGTATGGGGGTATTGGGGGCCGCTATGGGTGTGTTGGTGGTGTTATTAGGGGTTCTGGACCCCCCCCAGAAAATATATTTTTATTTTTATTTTATTTGTTTATTTTTTGGTGGGGTGCTGACGACCCCCGACCGGTAGGTGCCGACCAGTCAATCGGTCGGCGGGTTGGCAGCCGACCAGTCAAGGGCCACCGACCGTCGGGGGGTGCAACACTGGTCAGGGTCAAATAAGAAAGGGTTCGCTCCACCAGTCTGGCCTCTCGCCCAGTTTCTTCGTTACAAAAAACGAGGGAGCGGATCTACCCGCAGTAGACGGAGTCGCTGTGGCTAGGGCTGAATCGGCACAGAGGAGGGGAGGGGAGAGTAAGGGACTGGCACAGGCTGGTGCAGGGGGATGCGGATGGGTGCGGGCGAGGTCTCGGGTGCGGGTGTGTCTGGGTGAGGACTTTTTTCGGGTGGCAGGCGGGCCGGGCGAGGGGCTGAAATTTCAAAAAATGTTTTGGGTGGGTGGGGTCGTCTAAACGTGGAAGTTGTAATTCTTGGGTCCGTGAAACGCAGAGAGAGTGTTGCATACTCGTGAAACACAGTCATAAGTATGGCGCAGATTCCCAGAACCGACCAGATAATACAGAGTTAATACAAATACAGCGGAAGAGTTGATACCCATGGACTGACTCCGAACGGACTCAGACGGCAATCGAGCACTCTCAATCATGCATCAGTGGTGTGAAAGCCCTGGCCTTGGGCATAGATGAAAGGCCAGGGTCTGAGATCATACACGGACGAATGGAGGGACAGGAGAGACGAAGGGAGGACGAGAGGGAAGATGACGTCAACTCGATGTTTCCAAAGATAGTATCTTGAAATGTCAGAGGTAGCGAAACTCTGGAATGTCGTGAACACAGTGTCTCACAATGTCTCAGATGTCGATCTCACAATGTCATGGTACATCTCAGAGGAAGATGAAATCAAATCCAAGAGTAGTCCTCAACCTACCGTCCCAATGTCGCTGTCTCCAATATCATCAGAATTCGTAACCGTCCTTCATACTTGTAGTAGTCCCGATGGAGAACCCAGGAGTAGACTTAGACTGAGAAGGTAGGAGGAGAGAGACAAAAGAGAGCGGTGGAGGAAGAACAGGGAGAGAAAGCAAGGCCTTTCTCCCTGGTACCTGATACGGTAGCTATGGCGCCGCAGGGACTGGTGCTGGGCCGTGGGCTGGGCCGGTGGTTGACGCTGCTCCCAATGCTGCGCCAGTTCCTCTCTGCCGCTGAGCTCCTTCTCTCCTCGGGGCTCATGGTAGCGCTGCAGCGCTGCGCTAATCCAGCTAACGCTGAAACGTGACGCTAATCCTGAAGACTAACCTCCTGTCTACTACTAACCTACCTTCTGTTGACTGGTACCCGACTAATATAGTGCGGGGCCAGCCTCAAGGCTGATGGTACCTTGGGTCTGGACTGTTGATCTGATCAACGGTTCAGATCCTGTTGCCGGAATCTGAAAGTGGCGGCCTAACTTGGCCGCTGAACTGTGCCGGCAGTAGGTCCTACCGCTGGACCGGTACCGGCCTGAAACAATGTGACCGTTGGGCCTGTCTTAGACCCCTATACCTAGGCCTACTGGGGTTTACCTGAACCAGAGTATTGTTAGGTCTGCCTGGGCCTGCTCTGAACCGTCGTACCCCTAGGCGTACCCCGACTTAGAGGAACCGGGCCCTAACTGGGGCCCGTGTGGCTCAGAATGCCACAGAGAGGGAGGAGGGAGATGGCACAAGGGAGGTTGGAGGTAGATCTCGGGAGGGAGGAGGGAGTTGGAGCAACGGAGGAGACGAGGAGGTGGGAGATGGAATGCAGGACGAGAGAATAGATAGCGAGGGAGGAGGGAGATCGCAGAAGGTGGAAGGGAGGCAGATGGCAGTAGGTAGAATGGAGATTTATGGAAGTTTATGCACTCTGCATAGGCATGTTCTATTGCACTAGACCAAATTTCACCAGATGGTCGTAAGAGCCCTGAAACTCCAGCGGTGCTCCCACAGGATGTGCTGCTTTGCGCTAGCCCCTCATGATGACCCCCTATGTTGAATTCCCTTTCACAATTTCTCTTCCCTATCCCTACGCTTTGATTGGCAACCTTCCACAATATTGTTGGTATCTTTCAAGAGCAAATTGGGTACTTGCAATGGTCTTGGCAGGTACTACGCGACCATCCATTGCTGTGATTCTTTCTGATATGTGCAAACTGCTTCTGCTCCTTCCTGCAGCCACACATCCGTGATACATTTTCGTCCTTCCTATCTTATTAACCGTTAAGTCCGCGCGTTAACGCTCTTTCGCTACTCCTTTTTTATGCGAGCGGAGCCGTGCTGGTTCTTCTTGTTCAGTACGAAGTTGGATCTTTTTTCAAAAAAGCACAGAAGAGGTATGTACTTAGGCCATATGCAGGATGTTTGTCTGGGTTGTCCGGATGAGATCTAAAAGGGGAAAGAAAGAGATCCTTTCAAGTTAGACCCCTAGTATGTTGGGAGACTTTGTTGTATCAATGTCCTGCTGTTTCTGATGACAATCTGACCTCATGTGCAGGCCATATCACGGAGGGCTACTCTGCATGAGACGGTGCGGGACTACAACCATTGTGTACACGATTTGCAGAGATTGCTAGACTTTCTCGAGAAGCAGAACCAGGAGAAGAGTATGACAGGCGGTTTAGTGAGAGCGCGGTCATCGGCAAGTGGACCTGACATGAGGCAAACGAAAGATCGGCTGGCAAAAGCTGAGGACGAGGCGAAAAAGGGTCACTCGATCAACCATTACCTGATACTGTAAGTGTTGTGTTCTGTATACATTCCTAGTTGCCTAGGACATTTCCATAGGTGTACTGGTGTGAGAAAAATCCCCAAACCACCTGCCTTTCCTCCTTGCGAACTCGAAACAAATCTGAACAATGCATTTATTGGCAAAACCAGAGTGAGGTCGAGAAGAATTTCTGGTTCCTAAGACAGTCAAGTCGTGCGGACATGGATCATTTCCCAAGGACTAATTCTAAAATAGTGTCCAAGTCACCGGTTGATGGTTGCTTAAACCACCAGTCCCTCGTAGGCTCCTCTTAGTATTTTGCTGTGCCCCAATCCCTGCCGAACCATCACAGCGCGAAGTTTGCCTGGCGATGCCAGCCTCTTCTGTCCGATGGGCCCCACCTGCGATTTTGTGGCCAGGGTAATGGGTACATCGAAGCAAAATCGCCTGGAATGCAACAGGTGGTTTGAGCCACAATTTACAGATCCGGAGATTGTGCCCCAGTTCGTGGCGGCAGAGAAAATTGAGGCATGTAATGGGCCACACTTGCATCTCTGGAGGAATGGGGAGCTCCGGGAATCCTCGGTGTTTAAAATATGTCACTGTTGTTCTTGTTAGGGAAGGATGAGGGATTGAATTTAAGCTGAAAAGCCACCAGTAAGTTGTGCCGGAAACATTACCATAAATAGGCCGCTGAAGACGCATCGCCGATGCCCTGTGCCTAGAGTGCTTTGTGTCTGGCATTATCGCAACATTCGAGCGGCGCACAGGGAAATGCCCCTTGGTTTGCACTCGTCCCCCAACGGCGAGAGGCAGAGCAGATTTATCGGAATGTCTTCTTGGCTTTCGTGCTTGGTTCTTTTTCCTCTCTCTCTCTCTCTCTCTCTCTCTCTCTCTCTCTCTCTCTCTCTCTCTCTCTCTCTCTCTCTCTCTCTCTCTNCTCTCTCTCTCTCTCTCTCTCTCTCTCTCTCTCTCTCTCTCTCCTGCAGAGATGCTGGCGTCGCTAACATGGTCATCCTCATTGTTGCTGTGCGCTTATTGGATTGAGATCACAGTTCAATTGCGCCATATGTAAATCTGACGGCCCGTAGTCTTTCCATTGAAAGGAAAAAAAGGCAGGAAAAAAAGAATGGAAAAAATGCTAGTGAAGGGTGAAACCTGATTGTTCAGTTTGGTCACATCCATCCTGGAATCTAATGGAGTTGTTTGCTCAGGATGGCTCAGTGCAATTTGCCATTGCTAAGCCGAGAGGCCTGCCCACCTGCTGGCAAAATCACTCAAGCGAGGCAGATGCTAAGGGTCGAATGACTTCGAGTCATAAGTTCAGTGGAATGATTCCACAGGGATCATCTTTGTGCTGCATTGATCCAAGATACTGTCTAGTCAACTCTTCCCAACATGGCAGGCAGTTTTGACTCCATAAGGGCAGTTGGAGTTTAGCCTTGTTAGTTTTGACCGAGCAACAAGCAACTACAACTCGAAGATTGTGGAAGCGCAAAACCCGAGTTCAATTTCGCTAAGCCCATGTTGGAGACAGCGGAGCAGTCATTACCCTACTTGCTCAGAAGGTGGAGAGCTACTGTCTTCATCCAAATACAACGCACGGTCACTAGTGCTCTATTTAAACCCGAAAATGCCCCAAATACAGCTATAATAACTGTATGTTGTCTTCAGTTGAAGACGGCAGTGTGCACTTGTGTGATCTACAGTGCAGAACGATGGACTGCAGGGCATATAATATATATGCTTTGCAGAGAGTGATGGTGATTATGCGTGGGGTTGGAGTGCTGAAGGCAAAGAACTGGCATGCACTTGTGTGCTTCCTGCAGTGCACAAGGGTGGACTGCAGTGATATGCTTTACACGCAGTGATGGTAAAAGGTCCATTGCGTTGGAGCACCAGGGGACTTGGATCATATTTTCAGGCACGAGTACAAATTCATTCCCTCTATCCGTTCATCAATCCATGGATTCATCGATTCATCAATTGAACCGTTTATCCTTCAATATTTTCCGTTATTCAACAGCTGTGCTCGACCTTGGGTTCCTCTATCTGTTCCTTCTATCTACGCTTGTTCGTGGATTGGCCCTTCTGGTTCCCACTGCAGCTGTCCTGCCTCTTTATCCTTCTTCCCTCGCAGCCGTCTGACATGTCTTCTCTTTCACATTTCTGGCTGTTTCACCTCTCACCTCAGTTAAATGTGCTCCCCCCCCCCCCCCGGTTCTCTCCATCCCTTTCTGTTTGCTCCTTGATGCTTCCTTCTACCCCCCTCTGTCATCATCACTTGATTATTCATCGGTCAGATTTAATACCATATTTCTGTACCTTCCCATATTTCTTGTCTACCTCTATTTGATGCCTGTCTAGTATCCATGTGCATGGAAGGAACACGTCCAGTGCAGAACATCCACCTCACTGGAGACCACACATGGCATGTGCGCGCCAGAAATTGGCGAAAGAAATCTCAGAACTTCCGTCCCAAAAGTATGAGAGACAATTTCAACTTTCAAGTAACATTTGGCTGGACACATTGTTCCAAAGCGTTGTTTGTGGAGTATGCAAATCATAATTTTTATCTGATCCTGATTTTGCTGGTCTTCTGTACCATTTATACCATCTGCTGGTTCATCTTTCCACACATCATCCCATCCTATTTCACCCATCTACATCCGCTCCCTTTCTCATCTGACACGATTTATCCATCCCTGCGTGTAGGTAACTGTGTACTGCCTGTCCGTGTACCAATTTGAGCAGACATACATCCATATGTGGATTTGTCTGTCTTTTATCCATTTTGCCCCTCAATAAATGAACAAAGAAGTCATTCATCCAGTCACCTGTACGTTTCAATCGCCGAACAAATCGCTAGTCCTGTTAGACAGTGTTAAGTCCTCTTTATCTGTTTGGCACTGGGCAGCCTTTGAATAGGCGATTGAAATCCAATCGCGGTTTGGCATTCAGAGATGGTTTTGCTGTACCCACACCTCAAAAAATAGGGCACGGGTTCAAATCGGTTAAGGTAGCAAGAATGAGACGCCGGTGATGCAGTGCATCTCAATGCTGGGTTGCTAAGTTTTTTGTCGTGAAGGTGAGAATGTCTCTTCTCACTATCCACTGTCTCGTCCTGTCGGTTTGTACTGGTACCTGTTAGGAGATGACGACCAAGAAATAATTTCAGACACTCGCGAAAAATATGATAGTCCTTTGTGTGCTGTCATTTCCAGCTTCCCTGGTTTTTTTTTTTGTTTGTTTGTTTTTGACAGTCAATGGAAGGATAGCCCGTGCATTCACGTGTCTCCTTTACCGGTGTTTTGCGACAAGGTGGGGTGGTTGTAATTGAACATTTGTTCTCCGTTTTGTGGTCGCAGGGGAGTTGAGCCCACAAGCACAGCCAATGAGATCAAGAAAGCTTATCGAAAAGCTGCCCTGAAGCACCATCCAGATAAGGTACGAGATAAACAACCAAGCAGTCTTTTGCAGGTGGTCGGGTCTGCATGGGATAATTTTTTTCTGAAGCATGTTATCCATGGCTGTAGCACATTGCCTTCGCCATTGCCGTTTTGATGTTGCTCGCTGCCATCACTCCCAATAGTAGTGTGTTTCCACACTCAATTGGCAGTAGGTCTACTTCGGTACGAAATCAGGGAAGAAAAGAGTCCAAGAAGGTAAAACGAGGAGGCAACAGTGCTCTCCATGTTGATGCCAATGCTTAGAAGAAGGTCCCTCCTTGTTGATGCCAATGCTTAGAAGAAGGTCCCCTACCTGTCCTCCTTTCTCTTCCCCATCTTTCTTCCTCCTCCTGCTCCCTGCTTCTACTCCCCCTCCCTCCTCCACCTTCCTCATCCTCCTTTCTCTACTTCCCTGTCCTGCTCCTTCCTCTTTTACTTGCGCATCTTCCATTTACTCCTTGTATGACAACTCGTGTCCAATCAGGGAAAGAAAAGAGCTCGTTCCGTGGGCTGCATACACCACCGGTTCTATATGTAGGAAGGGGAAAAGCTGTCTCTAATGTTACAACACAAAAAGTGTCTGGAAAGTTTGAAGGCTGCAGTTCTACTGTTGGTCTACAATTACCCTGTGAGTGGTGGAAGGCCCAAATCGTACAAGCACCTCCATGCGCGCCCAAAGATCTTTGCTCGTATACCATTGCAGAAAAGAGGGGGGTGCACACAGGGGTGTCAATTTAATGCCTTCTCTACCCTATCTGGTGTAGTGCTCCTCTGCGGATTGCATCATCGTAGCATTGTTTATAGTTTGTGAGCAATTCGGAGAGGTGCTTCGATTACGTGATCGCAGGGTTGTTTATTTGGTTGTATAGTGTTGCTCCTTCGATTACGTGATCGCAGGGTTGTTTATTTGGTTGTATAGTGTTGCTCCTGCTCTCTGTTCTCTCTCCTCGTCTACAGTGATGGTACTATCATGGTAGAGATTTGGTCTCGCAATGGCTGTGAGTCAAGAGCTTGCCAATAGCAGGAGCAAGCATGTTTCAGAGATTTTGGCACTTCTTCCCATACATCAACAGCACGAAAAAGTGATGGTAGAACTGCCTTCCATTTATTAAGCGCTATGTAGGATGTTGGCATGCAATTTCATTTGACAAGGGCACAAAAGGAAGGAATGATGCAATGCCCGAATGCATGCACACTATGTTGCAGATGAGGTGCTCAAGTGAATTGACCAAGTGAATGGATGCGATCGGTAAGATAAGATAGGAGAAAAGAGAGAAGAAACTGCACAAGGTTGTGAGGGTTGTGTTGTGTCCGGGGAGCTTGTCTGACTAGACATGAGATGACGAGAGAAAGGAGTGGCTTGCAAAATTTGCAACTACGGACTGTATATGATTTGTTTGGAAGTATGCCCATCTGTTGTCTTTTTCTTTGTTTTTTCACTACAAATATGACAATCGCTATTTCACAGTGTGTGACCAGCAGCCGATCTGGGGCCTTGATTTCCCTGGCGTGCAACAGTCCAGATTGGCTGCTGATCTTTTTCAATGATATCACCTTGTGATCTGCACCTTCGTCGGCGTTGTTCCGCGCGGCCCAGATTGCATGTTGAGTGAGAGAGAGAGAGAGAGAGAGAGAGAGAGAGAGCTGGGGGCTGAGACATTTGCAAGAGGGGGCTCGTCAGAGTTCAGATGCAAGAGGCGAATAACAGGAGTTGAACGCGTGTTTTCAAATTAACAGTCTGACACTTTGACCTATTAAGTTATGTTCGCCGTGGTCCCGACGAGCACGAACCGACGAGGTGTTTTAGTCTGCCGTGTTTACCATTTTCACCAAGCAAGTATGGAGAGCTGGGGGATATGACATTTGCAAGAGAGGAGGGGGGGGGTGGCGGGGAAGTAATGCAAGTGGCCTGCTGCTACATAGTCTCTCAAGCACATCGCATCAGCCAACTCCGTCAAATGGATATCCGATGTTCACAACGTCAGTGGGGAAGGATGGTAGGGCAGTGGGAGAGTGGGGTTGGTGCAAGGGCCAGGAGGATCAACGCAAAGGGGGAAGAGGATTGGCGCAGCGAGGGAGGAATGTGGGCACGGTGGCTGGGCGTGGTAGGGAAGGTGGGTGCAGTTGGGGAGGGTAGGGGCAGTCGGGAAGGAGGGTTGGAGCAAGGGGGAAGGTCAGTGGGGCGCAGTGGGTGGAGAGGGTCGGTGCCGTGGGGGAGAAGCGTGGACATGGTGGCTGGATGTCGGTTGGGAAGGCGAGTGGGCACAGCTGGGAGGGAGCCGGGGTGCAGTTGAGGAGGAGGGTGATAGCGGTATAGCGGGAGCAGGAGCGCCACACGGCGGAGAAGGGGAGGGGAAGGGGGAGATCGGCGCATAGAGAGAGAGAGAGAGAGAGAGAGAGAGAGAGAGGCATACGACGAAGAGGGGGAGTGGCAGGGGGAGA